TTAAAAGACTTAAAATTGTCAAAACTCAAGACATTGTGTTTTTCAAGGATGGTACAGTGGTGGTATGAATTTGGCTTTCTGTCAAACACCTTGATAGCTCTCTTGTACAGCTGTTCTATGGGTTTCAAGTTTGTGGCACACGCAAACGACCAGTTTGTAAAACAGTATTCAATGTGGGATAGAATCATTCAGTGGAGGTATGACTTTGCAGCATTGACAGTTAAAGGTGGGGTATGTAATTTTGGAGAATTTGACTGGAAAAAATCTGCCTCTTCCTTCAGACTTCCTTACTTACCTTGCTTTTATCTTCAGTAGACTCGACTACTGCAATGGTGTCTTCACAGGTCTCACTAAAAAATATATTAGAAAGCTGCAGCTGATTCAGAACGCTGCTGCTCGAGTCCTCACTAACACTAGGAAAGTGGATCACATCACTCCTGTTCTGAAGTCTTTACACTGGCTTCCTGTGTGTCAAAGAATAGATTTCAAAATACTGCTGCTGGTTTATAAAGCACTGAATGGTTTAGGCCCAAAATACATTTCTGACCTCCTGCTAAATTATGAACCATCCAGATCTCTCAGGTCTTCATGGACTGGTCAGCTTTCTGTCCCCAGAGTCAGAACTAAACATGGTAAAGCAGCGTTCAGTTATTATGCTCCAAATATCTGGAACAAACTCCCAGAAACCTGCAGGTCCGCTGCAACTCTGACTACTTTTAAATCCAGGCTGAAGACTTTTCTTTTTGTCGCTGCTTTTAATTGAACTATTTACATCTTAAACTGCACTGTAACTTTTATTCATGTATTTTTTCTTTTAATGTTTATTTTATTATCTTTTCTTTTTCATGACTGATTTTAAATGCCATTTTCTTAATGTCTTTCGTTTTTTGTAAAGCACTTTGAATTGCCTTGTGTTGAAAGGTGCTATATAAATAAACTTGCCTTGCCTTACAGAGCCCCTCCTCCAACACACATGAACGCGCACATGACCAATGAGGGCACGAGATAAGTTTGTGCACAGATGGAAGGCTGACAGGCAGGTAGGCCATCCAGTTACTTTAGCCGGGCCGGCTAAAATGATTGGTCGTTTTATGTATTTATTGTCAAAGCACTTAAGATATTCATTGCTATCGGGATGTTAAGAGCATTCCAGGGAATATAACAAAAAGTGTTTCTGAAATAAATGACATACCCCACCTTTAAGAAACTGGCTTACTGCAGGAGCCAGTTGATTCAAATCTAATGTGTGTATTGTGTGGGGCGGGCAGTGATCATGGGAAAGGACTACTGTGGATGCCAACAATCAGCACGCTATTCAACAGATGGATCAGAGCACTGCTGGCCTAAGAGCTCATGGTCACGTGACCAGTGGATTAGCGTTAGCCCAACTGAAAGGGGGCGGAGGTTAGGGTGCTTGTCACCACACACTTCCTGATCACTTCCCTTACAATGTGTTTCCCTTTCTCTTTCACTCCGAACCTCATGTCGTCACATCACATTACATTTAGCTGACACTTTTATCCAAAGCAACTTACATTAAGTGCAATCATTTGTTGCCCATTAACCCCTGTTTGTCTTTCATGTTACATTATTCACCTGGTCAATATTACCACAAAATGTCTCCAAAGAAAAGAAAACGTGGTCATCTTACTGATATCAGAGAGGCCAACTCAGTGGACATTTTTAAACACCAGCTAAAGACACATCTTTTTAGAATAGCTTTTTAACCCCCCACTTTGAATGTTCTTTTATTCTTTATTATTTAACTACCTTACCTTAATCTTTTTCTTTTATTTCTGTTGTACCTATATGTTCACTTTGTTTTATGGGGTTTTATATTTGATATTGTTGCATCGACTCAGTTGTCTTGTGTCTTATCTGTCAGAGAGAAACCATTATGTATTATCATACATTTGACCTCCTTGTGTCTATTAACCTGATAACATGTTATATTTCGCTGCATGTACCTTTAAAGTTCTTAACAAATAATCTGAGGGGAATTTCTTGTTGTTTGTTTTTAACTTATGATGTGTCATTTTGTAAAGCACTTTGAGCTGCATTTGTTGTATGAGAAGTGCTATATAAATAAAGCTTTATTATTATCATTATTATTATTATATTTTATAATCTTTTATCTGTCCATCATGTCCTCCCTCCTGTGTTCAGGCGGAGAAGAGGCCCCATGCTTAGTACTTTATTAGGGCGTACGACGTGAATGTGGCACCTTTGACTCCTGGCTCAGTCAGATCAAAACCGCTGCTCTAATCGGCTCACTTCCAGCTACTCATGATGTCAATGCTTAAGAACATGTCTTCTGTGCTGTTCTCCCCCCCCCCCTCCTACTTACAGTACTCTTCAGCCCTCCCAGGCTCGCTGAACTCTACACTTGTCTGGCAGCAGAGACTGAACAAGTGAGAAGACTAGTTTAAGCCCTGCAGTGAGCACATGGCACAGTAAGGCTTAAAACATTAGGTTCCCCTGTGTCCCCTGTTGATACTCCTCCAGCATCTGGGTCTTTCTGTCAGGAACACAGTGTGCCCGCCAGTTCTGGGCTGACCAGCCATGTTCCCACGCAGACCCAAAACTCCCTCGTTTTCACAGAAATCTAGAAAAGCCCAGCGTTCTCTTGCACCATGCACCGCAGTGACAAGGGGAGCATTCAGCGTAACGTGGCCAACAGGGTAACATTCTAAATGTCACTGACCGGTATTTCCTGCAGATTACAGCTTGAACATATGTTGAATCGATTGAGAGAGCTGACATGCAGAAAATGAGCGATAGATTGAGATATAGAGGGAACTGATAAGGAAGTTTCACCCAAAAAAACAGTCCATAAAAGCAAGGATGGAGAGTATTTACTGCCCTACAGTGTTGGTTCATAAAAATAATGAAGTGCACATGATAAAAAAGTACAGATAATGCAGCAAAACATACCATCTCTAATAACAGTACAGAGAGAAAGGGGAGGGGTTTGATCCTTCAGCTCTATTTCTTCTCTAATCTAGGCAAAAGGTGATTCAAATAGATCTGTCCAAAACCAGAGTATTACGCTTTAATAGGAAAGAAAACATGCAGTAAATGACAAAATTATCAATTATTATCAACAAACTAACTTTTTGGACAAAGTTCGGCACACCGCCAAGACAAACAGAAAACTAACAATTTGTATTGCTCAGTAAGGGGGAAGGACTCAGACAGTAGTAATAACTCATCCAAAGCTTTCCCACAGAAGCCTCAAGGGGAGACATTACCACAGTGGGCAGAGGGCGTTATCACAACACGCAGTTCTCACATACAAGGAGCCAAAGGGGACTGAGTCACCGCCAGCTCCACAGTAGGTTTTAAGAAGAACTTCCCCCGGATTGTCCAAATGACAACATACAATTCTTATCGGTGCAATTCAACATTTATCATGAAACAAAATGGCAAAGGATGCATATCACAAAGGTACAGGTAAGCTTATCTTTACACAGACACAGAGCATCAAAGCGTCAGTGACATTTCAATTCTGTTTGTAAGCTCAAACACCCGGGTCTTTATTCAGTGAGTCGTGAGTCACAGATTTGACACCTTCGTGTTGACCTTCATGAACCATCATTTTATGCTTTTTTCAGATATCAACAAGCCAATGTAAAGCAACCAAGCATATGCTCTTTCATAGTGAGGCTCAACGAGGAGATAAATGGCACATCATTAATCACAACCACCAAACGTACTCCTGTTCTACTCAATTCCTTACGTATTAACGATTCAGCTTTTGTAAGATAATGATCATGACGGAGCTGGCATTTACAGTTGCTTATAGTTTCTGATTTATTCTTCTTCTCTTTTTAAAATGTAAAATGACTACAGTATAAAAGACCTTTTGTGTGTCTGTGTGGAGCTCTAGAAGTGAGATAATGCTAACTTTTAGTCACATTTTTGGAAATCTTCTGTCATACCATAGTGCAACTGTATTTATGGTATTCAGGACTGAGTGACTCTTTTGTTCTTTGTGGTTGTTTTTTGTTTTAAATTGTGTAACAACACCACAATGTTCAAATATTCATGCTATTTCAATTAGAAGTCACCTTAAAATAATCTTATTATTCAAATACTACCTGGAACTAACTTGTGGAATGGAACAAAACAACATTTGTAATAGCAGAAGATCTGAGTGAGCCGTAAAATGCACCTGTTGAAGTGTTGATATAAAAGCAGCAGCCAGTTTTATGTTACAGCTGGCTTAGGTGGAACAATAAACTACTGCACAGTTGAAACTAAAGTAAAGCATTAGTTTTGTGTGTTTGCAAGTCTTTATCTGAAAGTTACAAGAACTAACAGAGAGAAGTTATGGAGTACAAAGTACAAGATTTCGGTCTGAAATATAGAGTAAAAGCAATTCCACAAAATGGATATTCTCAATTGAAGCAGCTCAAAACTGCACTTAAATACAGCAAGATATAAACATGCCAGAACCAGAGTGCCCGAAACAAAAGCTCCCTGCCAGACTGTCAAACTTCTGAAGCATGCTCATTAAGGCATTATTACTAGACTCCCGTGGGCTCTATCAATCAATCAATGTTTATTTATATAAAACGTACCGGTTATCTCTTTAGTCCTATTTCACCTTGGCTGAGACGTAATGCTTCTCTATGTAGGTTATTGGAGTGCTGCCAGACTGGGAGGGAGGGTTTCCCTAGAACAACTTGTATATTTTAGAAAGCTCCCAGTGAGTCAGTGTTATTTACAGCAGTGACAGTGCTATACGGAGGGAAACTCAGTCCGTTAACATGACTGAAGAACTATAACAGGGCCTGTTGATTCAGCTTAATAAAACCACAAAATAAAAAGTAACAGAAACGTTACTACGTGCACGCGGGCTGTATGGTTTGAGCGCGTGCAGACGGAGCCGCACTCAGTTTGTTTACAAAGCGCTGTCAGAATAACGTTTCGCAACGGGGACGGTCACCTCTTCCCACAAAACAACATTTGAAACACGGTCAAAGTGTGACACTCACCTCTGTGGAGCGACTGAACACTAGCGGTCCGTTTTGCATAAAATGCGGCGAAAAGCCTGCAGCGACGTGAGCGACCTCCAGCAGGAACCTCTCTGTCAGTCCGTCTGTCAGCCTGTAGTTTCCAACTCTCTCTCTCTCTCCACCTCCCCCCCCCCCCCCCCTCTCAGATAAACCGCCCACTTCCGGTGCTTCTGCAATGTGTGAGTGAGAAACACTTTCTGTGGATTTCTGTCCTGCTGATGATGGATGATTTGTCTCTAGCTGGAATCAGACTGAAGGAGGTGTTAAATACAATAACAGCCACATTTTGTATTCGCTCTTTAAATATACATATGTTTTGTTTTGTTGTTGTCTGATCCCAGTGTATTCTGAACGAATAATCGTTAGGGTATTTTCTTTTGGAAACTAACAAATAACTTTAACTGATACTTTCATCAAGCAAAATCACATAATAATGATAATAATAATAATAATAATAACAATAATAATAATGATAACAATAATAATAATATTAGAAGAAGAAGAATGTTGATTATGTACTACTAAATTAAATGAGTACCAGTATTTTCTGCAGGTTTCTGACTAGCTTCTCTGTGCCAAACGTTTTTTTAATGAAAATAAAGTAGAATCTATTGTACAGCACAGTACAGTCGTGCAATAATGTCTATTGAACTCATTGCATCTACTAAATGTGTTTCACTCAATCTGGAGAATAGCGACACCTTCTGGTACTAAACTAAACTAAACTTAATACAGGGCATTAATAGAGGAAATGTGTTGTTGCTTTTACATGTTAAACCTGCCACGATGTATAGGTCAATGTGTGCAACTAAGAAGAGAGGTATATATTGCTATTTGGGATAAAAACCCCAAAAGAGAAAGGAAACAGCAACCATGTGGAGCCATGTTGAATGTTGAAGAAAGGTAAGAAAGGAATGTTCACTTCTTCTGTTATGTTACTCTTGACTTTTGACCAAAATCCAAATTGTGCTTGTAAGAAAAAGTACTTTTATCCTTGATTTTAGTAAATTAATTGAAAATACTTTACTGTTTTTTTTAAGGATAAAACAATCGGAGAAGTATTATAATATATGATGTAATGTGTTTACCAGCTTTGTAAAAATAAAAGCCTACAAAACAACAACTACTCTGTCAAAGCTTAGTAAAAAATGAGTCCCTAGTAAGATGTACCCAAGTGTTTCCCTTGTAGACATGACATGTGTTACATATAGCCTACTGTGTCCAGAGAAACCAAAGCAAAATATGAGGAATCTCGGGTTGTTGATGACAGTAAATAATTAAAAAAGTCCCCTATGATGCAGAAACACTATAAATAACTTAATTTCCCGCATCGATGTCAAAAAGTCCTCATCAGTCTCACACACACACACACACACACACACACACACACACACACACACACACACACCACACACACACACACACACACACACACACACACACACACACACACACACACACACACACACACACATACACACACACACACAACACACACACACACAGCACCCTGTTGAAGCCTCATTGATCCTGCAGATTGACTGGCTGTGAGCCAACTGAAGGGTGACAGTTGCTTCCTCAGACAGCTGAGTCAGCAGCTGCTGCCGGTAATAGCTGTTCCTCTCCACGCCCCTCTTCCTCTCCTCAAACCAGTCTGTGTTCCCTGCCTCTCACAGACTACCAGAGGCAACCAGGGCTCAGAGAGAGCTGTAGATCAGGCCAGAGGTCCAGGAATACACAGACTGCTGCCTATACTGTCCCTGTTTGTTTAGCTGCAGGCTTTATCTCAGCTGTCACTTGCTCTCCAAGGACTCATGGGAAACCACTGCAGCTGATCACATCACGGTACAGCTGGAGATGTAGTGGAGCTGAAGTGAACAGATACAATATGGGGGTTTCCGGTCAGGGAAATCTCATGGCTAGAGACACTGTTATTTCTTTGAATTGAAAAAGGAAGTGGGATGACATCACATTGTATGCATGAATGACGTGTAATATCCAAATCACTGCATTATACAAAACGAATTGGCTAAAATTACCTCCTGCTTTACAACAACACTAAATGACCCCTGACAACAAGGTTTGTCACACATTTTAAGTATACATATTTTAGCCGAACTAACCATAGGTTTCGCACTCTTGTCATTTCACTTGACACACGTTAATTCATGTGTTATTTACTTTTTTATTTTAATTCAATTGAAAATACCAGTTAAAAAGAAACATGGGACTGATTTTCCATCCAAATTAAACCTCCCTAATTTAGATGTTGTCTCTTCTTGGACCATGAAATAGCCTTCCCTAAAGGAATATTTATCAATCAATATCAAGTCAAACTCCCAGATCACCATATGAAGTCAATTAACTAAAATTCATTTTGTTTCCAGAACAATCTGTGCTGCATTACACTTCAGCTCTGTTCCCACAGCATTCAGACCAACAGAGGCCTCATAAAGATGTATTGCTTGCATATTTCACACATTGCTTTATTATTTCTCTTAAATCTTGGACTCTCTCGTTGTTCATCGTCTGGCTTCCTATCTATATTGCTGCATTTGAGGATATTTCCAGTAAATGTTATCAGCCAGTGCTTTATCTCAGGAATGAAGTTCACAGCCATAAAACCTGTTTGAGTTATTCTCTGGTTTGTATGATGAAACACTTGGTGGTGTGACAGTGCGGTTGGTGGTTTGCTTAAGTTTGCCCTTTTGCACATATTTTCTGTTGCAGGTCACACATGGAAGACTATTTTGTTGAACTGTATTTGAACAAGTTATTGATTTGTTCTTGTGAATGTTTAGCAGACAAATGTATTTCCTATTTAACATATTTCCATTTCAAGTGCTAAAACTCCCATCATGTTTGTATCATTAACTTGCAAGTGAATAATGACACCAACCAATGACTTGACTACTTTAGTGCTAACTTGTTTTTATTACCTTATGTCAATTGATGAGTAGTTACATCGTATTGTACAGAAATCCTCTTGACATTTCATTGCATGACAGACAGATGTGGCTTGCATTTATCTCAGAGTTTACTAGCTGTATGAAAGGTTCAAAGTCAACACTCCTTGCTGTGTTAGAGGGAAATATCTCTTTCTCATCCATGATTATTTTAACAACAAGGTTGTCTTAAAATAAATTGTTCATACAATGATTTACATTACATATCTGATCATGTGAATTCAGGCACAATAGAAACAATAAAACTGCTAATTTTAAAGCAAGTGCAACTCACATGATCACAAATTACAGTTTGATATGGGGTGGGAGTGACAAAAAACTGCTTTCAAAACAACTTGTACAGGTTATATCATGTAATTTCTCACTATAAGGGGAAATAACTTTACAGGAAAATATCCATAAATTGTTATATCATCTCTCTGCAGTTTTTTAACACTTCAAATGGCTCTAAGAAATATTGGAAATATTTCATTCTGAGTAAAAACTATCAAGAAACAAACCGTTTGATATGAAACAAAGGTATTGTGAGACACATGTGACAAAACATTTGGCGACCACTAAAAATGCAATAGTACATATTTAAAAAGGACCATTAAATGCATCAGAACAATACAATTCCAAAACGGCAAAGCTTACTGTATGCAACAATTATTCTACTTACACTTTCTTATTCAAAAGAAAAGAACACAAGAGTTCATAGCCGTTTCAAAAAGGCAAAAATACAATGTTCTCAAAAATATAATTCCAGATACTGAAAAGAGTAATCAGGACATCTATGCAGATGGGGAAGAACAGAACAGGAGCGGGAAGACGCTTTAAAATCACACACTGAGCTAAAGATGGACAGTCAAACTTTAAATGAGTGGAAATCCTCTTTTAAAAGATTTAAAACATCTTTCAAAACCATTTAGATCCCTTCTCGGTGAAAAGTAGACATTTTCTTTTACAAAGAAACAAGAAACAAACTGTACAGGCGGTGGGAAAATTATAACACCTCTTTCACAACATAATACCAAATCCCAAAGAAGAAAATGAAGAAACTTGGCGACTCTCCTCACATAGGTGATGCTACATCCATGTCCAAAGTGATTGAGTCTGCGGAGGAAAACCAGACGGAGGCTAATAATGTTGGTTAATAAACACGTTCTAGGTCATTGAGTTTCCTAGCTAACACAAATGTGTAGTTTGATAGTTTAAATGACTCACCCAAATGTGAAGGATTTGCCTCAACTTCATTGTGCATCAGGGAGTCCAGGGTGCGGGGCGACATGGGGAACAGGTCGCTGGTGTTTCCAGAGTTTGTGCTGTGGGGAAAAAACAAGAAAAAAGAGTTGTTGACGCTGAAATGCCACTTGTTTTCTGCCATAAGGTTTGTGCTCGTTAAAAATGTTCATATATAAAACTAAAGTAACAACATATTTTCTCGCTACCAACTAACTTGTGTAAATCAATGCTTTTCTTCATCCCACTGATCGCTACGGTGGTTCATACACATACTGCATCAGTGGCTTACTGTGTGAAACGGTCACTCCATAGAAAGACAATTCAGCATTCGTGTCAGTGAGGAAAGTCATGCCCGAAAGAGAGTAGGGTAGATTCAAAATGTGATGGATCTGTGGCTAAATCTTCATTAATGTTTAAATATAAACATCAAAATATATATCTTCAACCGCTAAAGACTGGGCTGATGTTGAGCATATTCAATAATATTCCCTGCTTCTGTTTCAGGCAGTGCTTAACATTTGTTTTGATGTTAATGATTGATATTAATGACCGGCAGTTAAAGTAAATGGAGGATGTTTGTTAGTTTGCTGGTGGATAGATCAGGTTGTTACTCAGACTTTTAAAAGTACAATTTCCAGTACTTTGCAGAGGAGGTTCTGTCAGTGTGGTCAACAGGATTACCGATAAAATATTGGTAACATGTTCATGTAACTTGGTGAAAGGGTGTTTATTGGTCGAATGAAGAATTAAAGCTGGAGCGGATCTGAATCATGGAGGAAATAACCAAATCGTTTCTGCCTTGGTGAACGTCTGTGTTCCCCAAATGCCCTTTTAGTTATATTTCGATACTGTATTTGGTCTTGGAATGGAATCGTGAATGGATTAGGAATTATTTCCCAGTGATAATTCTACTTTTATCTGAAATCTGGTAAAAAATGTTATACAAAATACTGACACAACTATCTAAATGAATGAAAACGGATTAATAGCAGGGAGATGCTCTTATATTATGACCAGGTAAAGTGACAGGCGAGTTGGAAAAGACAAACAGGTAGGTGCTGCAACTTAAGTGACAAGATGCACACACAAAGCCCACCCTACATGCCACCTCCCCCCCCTCCCCGAGCGCCTACCCTGGGAATCCGTTCCCAAGCAGCTCACTGTCCGGCAAGTCCATGAACACGGAGGGACACCTACGGAGACAGGTCAGGATCTCACTGAGCGAACCTCAAACCCACCAGCACACCCTCAAACAGCTGCCCTCTGTCTACCTTTTATTTATTTTAATGCAAATACAGTCGAACAGATAGTATATGGAGCATGGAAATGACCCTATCTGGAATGATCAGCGAAGACACAACCTGTTGTGTTAATTGCAATCTGTCTGAACATAATCTACATTGATCTGGGTTCACAATACTTGATCTGAGAACAGTGCTGGCTCCTCTAAAGACAGCGATGACTTGCAGTGAGAGTAAAAAACTGATTTGTTCTCTTTTCTTGAACATTTGGCAGAATTTGCTACATATTGAAAAAGGAAATCTCAAAAAGGGAAGTTCAGGTCATACCAGGAACATTCAGAGGGAATCTCTTTTCTTTATATGAGCTACTAATAAGGACTAAAATAAGTGAAGGTCACAAGATGGCATGAGCCCTTCCTGTAAATATTGAGGATACTCACGGGGTAACGCAGATGAACTTCGTCTTCAAGTATGGCTGAATAGCTGTCAAAGAGAAAAAGAGTATTAGCACTATCACAAGAAACGAAGCGAGAAAAAACATGCACACTAAACAATATTTGTTGCCCGTCTTAAAGGAAGCGTAACGGCCCGTCCACACACAGGCATGAAACAAATCTTTCAACGCTTCGCCCATTCACTTGAATGGGGTGACGTAGAAGATTTAGAATCTTCGCCGAACTGCATTGTGGGGAGCGGAGCATGGCTTTGCAAGCATCGTGAGCATCAAAAGTTGAGCAATGTTCAACTTTTGATGCTCCCGATGCTTTCGAAGCTGGCATCAGCCAATCAAATCCCGTTTATGCAAATCCCGCCAGTACAAGCGCTAGCCAATCAAACCGCGTGCAAGCTGGGAGAGCCAGACCGCAGTTCATTTCCTCATATTCCAAACGAGAAATTACGGTAGCAAATCACCCGGTTCTTTACGACCAGAACTATTTACCGGGATACAAACCGGAGGAACCAGGCATGGAGGGAGGTGGCAGAGACAGTGGGTGAAACTGGTAGGTTTTCGCCTGTTTGGGGATTTTATATCCAGTTTACTTCGTTTTAACATTGCTATTGCTTTGTATGTCGGGGGCGGGAGATTCATGTGATTGGTTGTTGGTCGCGTTGCTCGCAAAAAATCGCCAAGCTTCAGACACGCCCAGCATCAAGATTTTTCAAGATTCTTTTCATGCCTGTGTTTGTGGACGGGCCGTAAGGAACACTCACTACTCGTGGAGTCTCCTCCCATCTCAGGCTCCGGCGCGGCTTCTGGCCTGCAGTATTTCCCAAAAGCCTCGTCTTTGGGGATATCAGGGTAGAGGTAAACAAGAGGCGAAACCAGGATGTTGGTGGCGTCCATGATCTTGTATCCCATGATGATGTCGGCAAAAGACATGTTGTTGAGCTGCTGCTTGGTGTAGGGCTCCACTGACTGCATCTGGGTCTTTCCTAGGAAAACATACAAGGAAGCTCAGTACCTGAACAGAAACTCAAGTGATCAGCCGGTATAAAAACAACAACAACTCACCGCTGATGTCTTTCTCCACCCATGTGAATGTGATGCCGCCCTCCTTGCTGCTCTCACTGAAGCGCAGCAGGAAAGTGCCGGGGGGTTTTGGGTTAAGAAGGGCCCTCTCCCTCTCCTTACTGATAAAGCCCATGATATACCTGCAGAAAATCAACAGGATATTGGTTTAAAAATAGCAAGTCTATTCTGAAACTGTTGACCACAGCACTTCAAAACACTTGGACTCATAAACAAAGGGCGACCTCTCACCCTTCGTTCCACAGTGCCAGGATGTACTTCTTCACCAGGTCGATGATGTTGTCCAGCCACACCCAGAAGGAGAAGCCTTTGCCAGCCATGTTTTCCTGGGAAGAGGAAGGAGAAAAATAACTCACAATTGAAGTAACACAATAGCAAGATGGCAGGTTGAACTGTAAGTGTTTTTTTAGGTCAGTACCTTGCAGAACTTGGCCCAAGTGATCTGGCAGCCGGAGTAGTTTACACACGGCCCTGAATGGACAGAAGAACATCACACATTAACATATGAGACAGTAACAAGTCTAGCAGCAAGTCCTCAAAAAAGGCTTTAGTGTTCGAGATACCCCTACCCGAGATAGAACCAAACACAACAATGATTTTTCTTATCTTTAGGGTCTCCCATTAATGAAATTGATTGTTGTCAAATTTTATTTTGGGGGGGAAAATGTTTTTTGGGTTGTTCTTTAGAACTACCCAATCCCTGAAAAGAGCCAAATTAGAGCAGGCCGGATATGGGAAAGGTGACAAAAAAGCCCATAACTTGAGAATGACCATTCTTTTGCTCTTCAGATCTGCTGAGGTATGAACCAGGTGGCTGTCCTACATCACCAAATAGTCAGACAATTATTTACCTTAAAAAATACTGAATTATAGTCCTGTAAACTTAGCTTTAGTTTAGACGGAAATTGTACTTTTTGGTGTTAGGAACATAGGACTCAATCACTTTTCTCTCATTTATCAGAAAAACAGTAATCCCTAAAAAATATACCATTACTGAATTGTCTAGGGTGCTATTGAACACTAACCAGTAGTTGTATGGAAATATCTGGTACAGTTCTATTGCAAATGAGATTTCTTTAGACATAGGCCTACCTCTTCTCTGATACAGTCAAACTCCGAATGGGGGAGAAGTGGCACAATAGCCTATAAGTTAAGAATGCTCACTCTGATGGTCATTATATTTGGAGAGGGAAATACCAGGTGGCTGAACTACATCACCAAATAGTCAGAATAAGAGTCACCCAATAAAGTGTTTTAATTCTAAATAGCAAGCCTCTACAGTAAGTGTAAATAGTACAGGTTGTATTGAAACTGGAACCTTAATTCAAAGTACAGTATACAAATCATCAAATCATTCTGTGAGAGGTCAAGTATATAGATGCTAGAATATAATGTTAAATGTCAGGTTCCTCAGAAACGTTAGGGGACACATGTTGACATTCTGCACAGCAGGTGCAGAACTCCGTACAGGGAAGGCCGACAGAGAGGCACTTTCCACTCTCTCCACACTTTGCATCTTTGCAATACAAGTGAGTAATGTCTCTCACTTCTGTAGGTGCTGGGGGTTTTTCAAATAGCACTGGTTGAATGGCCCCATCTCTGACAATCCACCCCTTGCCAACAGGACTCCATAACAAGGGTTTGGGTTTGGGCTGTGACACCATATCGCTGTCTGAAACATTGCTCTTTACATGTTGTTGAAATGCATCCTCTGTTGGCGGCAGATTTTCCGAGGCTGCATCTGTTGTTGATGCAATTATGAACCTCAGTTCATCCAAGTTTGTGCACATCAGTCCAATTTCCTTTTTTCCATATAGCAGAAGCGCAAATTCTCTTGCAACTGGCAAAGACTCTTCCAAGCTGGCAGAGAGTCCAAAATGGGCCAGATCTTTGAGCTCGCTGAGATGGGTCTTGAGTTTGGTGAATGCTGTTGTCTTTCCTGTTCTGTACAAACTACTTGTTGTGCCACAGCCAGTGAGTGCATGACATGCTGGTAGACAGTTAGACATGTCTTTTCCAATGTTCTCACATATGGTGTTGATGGGGACATATCTCTCTCTCATTCCATGGCCTGCATGCATGTACTCTAGAGATGAACCAAACATGTATTTGCTTGCATAATATATGAGCAGTATCTCCACATCTGTAGGGATGGGTATCGTTAAGGTTTTAACGGTACTACTACTTTTATCGATACCGCTTATCGGTCCGGTCTTTTAACGGTACTTTTATCGGTTATTTTGGAGAAAAAAAATTGTGAACAAAACTAACATTGCTTTTTATTTAAAATTAAATTCATCATATTTCACATCAAAAGAAACAACAACGTTTTAACAAATCGTATTAAATAATCTGATGACATAATTGTAAACAGAATAGCTGAAACTTTAACAAAATAAATAACTCTGTTACCTCTAATCATTAACCCATGCTTGTATAATGTAGTTAACTCCGTGTGTTGCTGCTAGCATACATAACACCTGACGTGGAAACGTTACTCGTGGATGGGGCTACAGAGCTGCTAGAAAGACGGTCGAACCCGGTACATTCCTCCGTCTGAATGTGGAGCACTTTTGCTAAATGTTTAGACAAACAGCTCGTGTTACCGCCCTTACTTGCTAAACTCTTATTGCACTTTAGGCAACGAGCATCGAGACGGGTAAAGTTTAACCACACCTCGGAGCGCGTTCTCTCCGCCATCTCCTCCATGTGTGTGTTGCTGGCTGCATCTCGCAGAGCGTGTGTGTAAACTGCCCCGCCCCCTCGCAAGCAGGCGGGGGAGAGAGATCGAAAATACTAAAAATAATCATAGACGCATTTTTAAGTCTTTTTGCGTATTAGAAACGGAGTTGGCGAAACTAAAACTGCAATATAATGTTTGTGTAGCAATAATACATATGACCAGGGGTGCACATGACTTTTTTGCCCTGGTTCTCAAAGGAGCACCTGGAGATGTTGCTTGGTGCTCATCCTTAAAATGAAATAAACCGTAACTTTTGAGGGGGTCTTGACTTTATTTGCCAGACACACGGCGCTGAACACACGTGCAGAGGTGAACACAGAACACACATGCAGAGGTGAACACAGAACACACATGCAGAGGTGAACACAAGACAACATTAGCACGACCAGTAATCCTACAAGCTGTCATCACTACCCTCCTGACTGTTCTCCTCACTGTCTTCCTCTCTGTCAGACATGGTAGCTGATGATGTAGGCCTACTTCTTTCTCTCTGGTTGAGTCTGTGATTAGCTGCTGGTTTTGGGTCGAAAGTCTCTGTTGTGATCATCTTAGACAAGTGGATGTAATCAAATAAGTATGTGAACATAACCAATAACCTACCATAGCAAATAACAAATTAATGTAACTTATTTTATTTATGTTGTTCATTCATATCTTATTTTACCTTAACATTTATTTTTTTATCTCTCCAGTTTTAAAGGATATTTGTGGTTACTGTCCTATAGTATACATTGGAATGATTTCAAACCTGTTTATCCCAATAATTATAAAGGAGTGCCTTGGAAATATGTGTTTACATAAATTGTGACCAAACTGTTTGAATTTAGACTAAAGTGAACTATCTAAACGCTCAGAGTCCTTTATCTCACTGAGCTGTAGTTATCAGCCTCTCAGTCTGACTGGAGAGGACTCTCCCTCCACATTATTGTAGAAACATCTTCTTCTTCCGTTAGAGCAGCTAGCACCAGATGCTAATAACAACAGCGCCGGTACCGGTGCACCCTCCCTCTCTCCCACGCTCACTCGCATTTTGGCTGTGAGCAGCGGGCGCCAGATAAGCCAACATCCCCCATTTTCATCACTTACAGCGCCCATCGTACAGGGCAAATGAAACGTGTAACCGGGGTGAAAAGGGTGTTACATTTACTTAATTATGAATATTGTTACATCAAGGCCGAAAATTAGGATGAGCCCCAACGGTCAAAATGTTTTCTTCCCTCCCAGAGCTGCCAGCGCAGCACCTCCACAGATCTGGCGCCCGAGGCGAACATCTATTACGCCAGCGCTACGGGCCGGCCCTGAGTTCATCATATCATAGGTTCATATGCAACTCGCAAATATATTTCTCTCTCTCTCTCTCTCTTCTCTCTCCTCTCTCTCTCTCTCTCAATGTTGGTACGCAAATGCGCCTTTTTTCAAATGACACGGTGCTCTTTTTTTGGCGGAGGTGCGCATGCGCACCTGCGCACCAGTTATGTGCAGCCCTGCATATGACATATATTTTTTACATGTCTCCAGTACCGCTAACGTCGGAGCTTAACGGTACCACGGTCTTTAATAATTCAGCCCCGGGGCCCGTTTAATACCGGGGCTCGGTACCCATCCCTACACATCTGTGTCATCAGACCTCACAATGATGCGGGAATATGACTCTGCAAGATGTATAGCATGGAGCACCATCCTTGTGTCTGCCTCCTCCTGATCGACTGACTCCTGCTGTGCAGATGCTCTTCACCTCCTCCCCTTCGTTAAATCCTGAGTGCAGTCTCTGTGGGGCAGCAGTGACAATGTAGTTGCTCACAAACATGCACAGTGCAGTCTTGTTTCCACTACTCCTCAAGTACTTCCTGTAGTTTGGGACATTTGTTTTGCCAGTGATAACATGTGTAGGCCTTCCATCACTTGCACCTCTCCAGGTCTTTGACTGTGGGCCGTCATACCTGTCAAATACTGTACCATGACCACACATTTCATTTCTTGTTTTCTATATATATATATATATAATATGTGCCAAACACTCTGTATGATTTTGTGAACGGGTGTGTCAATGCAGGTGCATTTTTAAAAAGTGCAGAACTCTAATGAGGACCCAGCTCTGAAGAATAACACAAGTGTTATAACCTAAAGCAAAACAAATGTCCCAAGCTAAAGGAAGTACTTGAGGAGTAGTGGAAACAAGACTGCACTGTGCATGTTTGTGAGCAACTACATTGTCACTGCTGCCCCACAGAGACTACACTCAGGATGTAACGAAGGGGAGGAGGTGAAGAGCATCTGCACAGCAGGAGTCAGCCGTTTGACATCACACAGATCAGGAGGAGGCAGACACAAGGATGGTGCTCCATGCCATACATCTTGCAGAGTCATATTCCCACATCATTGTGAGGTCTGATGACACAGATGTGGAAGTACTGCTCATATATTATGCAAGCAAATGCATGTTTTGTTCATCTCTAGTGTACAAAGAGCAATGTTTCAGACAGCGATATGGTGTCACAGCCCGAACCCAAACCCTTGTTATGGAGTCCTGTTGGCAAGGGGTGGATTGTCAGAGATGGGGCCATTCAACCAGTGCTATTTACAAAACCCCCAGCACCTAGAGAAGTGAGAGACATTACTCACTTGTATTGCAAAGATGCAAAGTGTGGAGAGAGTGGGGAGTGCCTCTCTGTCGGCCTTCCCTGTACGGAGTTCTGCACCTGCTGTGCAGAATGTCAACATGTGTCCCCTAACGTTTCTGAGGAACCTGACATTTAACATTATATTCTAGCATCTATATACTTGACCTCTCACAGAATGATTTGATGAATTGTATACTGTACTTTGAATGAAGGTTCCAGTTTCAACACAACCTGTACTATTTACACTTACTGTAGAGGCTTGCTATTTAGAACTAAAACACTTTATTGGGTGACTCTTATTCTGACTATTTGGTGATGTAGACCTGTTTCTGATTATGATTCTATTATGTTCCTATTGTTTTTGTAGACTTTTAGGCATGGTCCCTCACCTAGTAATTTCTCAGCCAGCGTGGTGAGCTGCTCGATGGTCAGGCCCCTCTTGGTGGTGGAGGAGAACTGCCAGCTGAGCACCTCGGCCACCTGATCCCACGTCCCCACCGGAGGCTTGGTGTAAAAGTTCACGTTCTGCACAGAGACAGCCAGGCAAACATGGTGTCAAATATAAATGTAATTCCCCCATTACAAACAGATATTCAACTGTGATGTGTCAGCAATCTCCCTCTAATGAGTTCAGCCCCTTTCCAGCAGGGGGTGCTGTCTCACCTTCGGGTGGTTGGTGAGCATGTTGTACCACAGGATGGAGGCCCAGGCGTTGGGCATCTGGCAGATGTTGGAAATGACTACCACAGGCAGGGAATGAGTCTGCACAAACAGAGGAAATATTAGTATATATTATGCATTATTATATGAGAAGTCATGCACAATGATGTGAAAATATTCCGGCCTTCTTCAGTACATTGTCTTGTAAAAAGGACTTTTGAACCTCTCATTAACAACAGCTCTAACACTAAGAAAGAGTATCCTCTTCTTAGAAAGATAACATATTTTGCAAATATAAGCAATGATAATATTTCAAAACGATAACATGAAGGCTGCAGAAAAAGGATTTTTGTGTACAAACAAATCTGTTGTGGCTGAAAATCAAGTATTAGGTTTCTTTCATCTTGGTCTTATTAAATTAGAAAAAATTGAGTAACAAGCTAGCAGAAATATCACTTTGTAGATTCAAAATGAGACAAAAAAAAGTAAGCATCACTGCATCTTTTGACTGATAATGTAAGCTCATATGTCTCATAACTTGTCTTCAAACCATCTGCTCTGCCATAAGGACAACAGTTTCTCACAGAGGCTGCGCACGTTGCTCTGAAAATCACACGGCTCTTTGTGTTTTGACACCTACGTACAGATGGAGCTCTGTGGTGTGTTAGAGGTTGGAGAAAATACAAAACTAAGTGAACCTGGTTAGGACATGTAGAGTAGATGACGCAGGCATATTAAAGTAGAAATCATAATTAGCTTCAGCAGAAATACTGCCATCATGGGGGTCGTTAACTGGGTTAATGGAGGAGTAACGGCTCATAAGAAAGCAACGGTAGTGACAGACTCCGGAGGTGGATGACTTTGTTAATGACTCATGTGTTTGGTGACTAACTTTATACGGGGGTGTCAAAGAACAGCGCTGATATGTCTTTATATTATTCTTTTGAGTTTTTGATGATTTCTGGTGTTACATGAAGCCTACATTAAGGAAACACAGAGATACTATGTGATACTGACCTCCAGATCGATCTTCAGGCCTTGATGGTAGACTTCCGTCTCAAAAGTGATAAGATGGAGCTCCTCAGTGACGATCAGAGAGGCCTGAAGAAAACAGATTACTCAAACCTCAACTCAAAAAAGCCTTTATGACAGAAATTCATCAAAAAATACAAACATTTTGAGCATTAAATTACAATAATTATCAAGAATAGTACTCACGTCGCTATTGGTCCGGCCACCATTACCACATCTCTGCTCTCTCAGGGTCTGAAACAAACAGGAAGTGAGTGCTACAGCAGATCGGAGGACGGAACCAAGCAGTAAGAGATTTGCATCTATAACTCACCAAGTGTTTAAACTCTGCTGACAGGCTGCCATTGTTGGACTCTTCCATGTTCATGACTTTTGTGTTGGTACCGAGGATGTTAAACTTTCGTGACCTGGGGAAAAAAAGCATAAAGTGAGGATATATTCTAAAATATTATACAGTCAGTGCTCAGGCATGGCAAGTACATCTTAAAAAGACGTACCCTCGGATTGCAGCCACATCGCCAGATTCCCTGAAAAATCAACAGTTCAAATCAGTGAAGCACTTTCAGCTAAGGTCTTCAATCAATTGTGTGTCTTAGTGCGAAAAACTCCAGATACAAAAAACAAACAAACTTACTTGTCAATGCAAACTTTAATTTTCAGCTGGTAATTGAGTTCAGGAAACTTTACCAGTAACCTGAACAAATAAGATAAAAAGTGTTTAAAACGCATTCCAATATGTAAAAAGATACACTCTCTGTCAAACGGGACATGTCAAATATTTCATTTAAAAAAGCATAGACATATTTATGTAGCATTTGATACTTACCTCACTTTATTTGTGAACTGAACACCTGTTTTTATGACCAGTGGTCTGTCTGGATGCATGGGCATACAAGGCTGTCTCTCGACCACGAACGCACTGAAACACAGAGCGGATCATGTTTCAGAGAACGTTTCCAGACTCTCAGGTCAAAGGCCACTTCACTAATGAGTTGCAGTTTTTAAGTGCGTCTCACGTCTTCCTCCGCAGAATGGAGACGGCTCAGATTACATTACATTTGATAAATGGCGAGCAAGAGATGCAACTGAAAGCTCTGTATCGGTTCTTTTTGAGGGTCAACTGTTAATGATGTGAACACTTGGTGTGTACAGTAGATATGTGTCACATGCTGTACCTCTTCATCAGGTTTCTGAACAAGTCCACGATCTTCTCCTCCAGGGCGGGCCGGTGCTGGATGATGGGGTCTCCTTTGTACGACACCTTCTGCTGAAGCTCCTCCAGCTTCTTGATCTGCTGACGGATCTGGAGCTGGGACTCAGCCAAGGACGTGATCCTGGTGATAGAATTATGAAATGATCCAGTGGTCGGACTGACTTGACAATACTTGTGGCATTTGGCACATTACAGAAAAAAGCTTTTTGGTAGATGTCTGCATTAAAACACAGGAGATCACCAAAAGGAAAGCAGAGACTGTCTGTCTGCCAAAATCATCTATTTAATGGTATAAGAGACAACCACAAATACTTCTTAGAAACTGTGTCAACATTTATAGTTCTGTATTATATGTTTAAATGTAGCCCCAAGGCTGGGAGATGCCAGAATAATCATTTTGAAACATTTTACTTATGCAGAAAATAGTTTTGTTTTTTATAAACGGTGCCTCCAATTCAGTTGCATTTTAAGATGCCAGAGCAAGAATGTGGTTGGACGTTTTTTATTGATTTATTTTGAGTACCCATAATGCATTTGGGGATGCCATCACTTTAATTTATGATACCAATACATCATTTACTAGTGTTATTCAATAAATACCCATGTAAATTGTTCGAATAACGTTTTTCATTTGTGCCCTTTTAATATTCACTAATAAATATCAAATTGTTCATTGATCATTAATGTGACCAACAATGCAGCCATGGTTACCATGTTTCGAGGCGGTCCAGGCAGATGTTAGGTGGTCCTCCAATACAGGCAATCTGCTGCCTCCTCTTCCAGTCTGCTAGCTCTTCATCAGTCAGGTTCTTCTGCACATAATCCATGGCGGTCAACAAGCCTCCCATCTCTGTCACTATTTGCTACAAGGAAACAAGAAACATTCACATTAGACATGGAAATAATGACTTGTAAAATAAGTCAACTTGGTCAATTCGACTGCTAGCTTTACCTCGTTGCATGTTATTACTTCTCAAATTCTAAAGAACAGTAGTAACAGAATAGTAGCATGTAACCCAGGTTATTTTACTGTTGATAGATTATACATAGGTTCCCTGAACGCCTCGCTGACGAGCATGAGACAGACGCCGGCTAAGCAGCATGCTTTTCCATTGAACAATTATCTACATTTGCAAAGAGAATGTAACACTTTAAAACATATTCTTGGTCTCACAAACCCCTCCTCTGCTGCCTATAATCCATAAAAAGTCACATGAAATCAAACTGGTGGGGGACTTATTATCCTTGTGTTCTTGGTTTTCACTCACAGCTCAATCTGTTACAATGTATTTTGACTTCATATTGAACATATTAAAGCTAGACACCCACCCTCCTCAGCTGGTCCAGCGCACTCAGCATCTGCTCGAGCTGAGCCATCTTCTGTCGGGTGGCAGCTGCTTGGCTATTCCCATTCAGGTCCTGGGACAACTCTGGACAAACAGCGGACATGACAGTCAGAAAACAAATGCAATTCCTTAAATATACATGTGAAAAACACTGAAAAGTTGCGTTTTAATAAATGTTCACCTGAGACTGAGATAAACCTTTCCAAACAAATTCATATTGCTGCTCAAACTGAATAGATATTTTTAAGAATGTACCTCCTTGACTTTTCAACGTCTTGTAATTGAAGTCAAAGTCATCTTGCAAGTTCTCAAGCATTTTCATCTTCTGTTCCATATCCTGAAGGAAAACAAACAGAGGACATATATTTAAGACAAGACAGACTCATTTAGTCAAGTTAGTTAGTGTTCAGGAATCTTTTCTTTTATTTGCATCCTTTATCAGGGAGGGTGTGATGGAAAGTGACCTGCACGCGCTTCCTGATGTCCTGGAGGTTGTGCTCCAGAATCTGCTGCTTCTCTGTCACTACTGTCCCAGAGGGATGTGCGGCCTGGCCCTCCTGCAAAATAACATATACCGCTTTACCACCTAAGATTCATGACCTTAAGCTTATTGATGTCATATAACGTTAGAGCTGGGTTAGTGTAGCTTTTCTCTACCTGCACAGCAGCGGTGGCCGTCTGCAGCAGCCTCTGCTCCTCCCATAGACAGCGGGCCACGATGCGAGCGATGTCCATGGGCTTCTCCAGGTACTTGCTCTGCAGATGCTGTTTAATCCTGCGCAGGTTATGCTGGTAGAGGACATTGTTTTCCTGCAGGAAACGGCTATACTGCTGGTCTATTTCTCCCAAGAGGTTGTGGAACACCAGGGTGGCGTGTGACTCCTTATTGGCAGCGTAAGCCCTTGTAAAAAGAGAGGAGAGGATCATCAGGATAGGATTATTATCTAGTTCCTTTTAAGAGCTTGTAAAAGGTAAAGAGTTCACAACTGCTTCATTCAAACTTCCTGTATAAGGAAGATTACTGGGGGGACACTTTCAGGATAATACCTTCTCTGTATAATCTAAATACCCATTGGACAGGAAACACTTTTTGCAGGTTATATTACTATTTCAATTGTTAAGGTGCACTGTGATACCTTATATAATAATAATAATACATTTTATTTATATAGCGCTTTTCACAACTCAAAGACGCTTTACAGTATGAGTATATGCATGGGAGATCTGTAATGGTGTCATGAGGGAATAATAAGGCATGATAGAGAAGAAGGTAACAATGAATGAACATAATAGCTTTCCAAAAAGGTAGCTATTATAGTTAGTGGCCCTCTGCCAGTCTGGAGGGAATGGAGGTTCAAAATAAATGAAATGCTATACTCCAGCAGACGGCGGAAACAATATGTGCTTTCATAACAGTTTAGTTTATTTGTTTAGTGTCGTGGACAGTCCCCATTAATCAACTGTCACACAAAACAGTAAATGGGGCAGCTTTAGCCAACATTGATCATTTCCAGCTGTTGTCCCCGTCCAGATGATAATAGACCCCCTTAAACAGAGCCCAGGAATGAAATGATTCCTCACCAGTCCTGACTCTCAATCCAGGGGGCGAGGAACTGCCGCAGCTCCATGGGGAAGCTGTCGCTGTACAGGTGGTAGAGCTGCTCCAGATACCTGGTCTCCAGCTGCTGTAACTGGTTCCACTGGGCCATCCTGACTTACACCTCCTCAAGCCTACAACAAGAATGGGGGTAACAACATTAAAATAGCAGACACCATTTTGGAGGAGACCAATACTGACATTTATTGTAAAAAGAAGTTTCACTGACAAAAGAGAAATAGCTAAATGTCAAGTTTTTACTGAAAATGAAAAGAGGCTCTTGGGAGGGTTTGTATTCTCAACAGCCACTTCCTGTTCAGAGAAACACTACGCCTCCACTGAGAAATATAGATCGACTCTCTAAGCATATAGAAATATATGATCTTGGATCTCAAACACGACCACACTTCCTTTGTCTATGCTTTTGAAAGATATGAATGGAAACCAGAGAAACACCCGTTTTGATATATAAGATTGGATCTAATTACGTTCCTTTATATATTCTTTAAGAGAAGCAGTGCAACAAGAACAGTATACTCTCATTAATCCTCACAGCCTGCAGAGACAACCATTATCCATCAGATCCACATTTTAGGTTCTGTTGCATTCTCATCTTAACATAACACAGCTACACTGTTCCCCTGAGGGCCGCAGGCTGTAAACTAACAGACCCTACCTACACCAAGTCCTCTAGAATTCACATTTAACAACTAATGGAACCCTTTATTTAAGCCTCTTACATTCAAGAGGCTTGCAACTTTCAATACTGTTGCATTACCATCTGAATGCTGCCTAATCATTAGTGATTTGTAGAGTGACATTGTCCTATAGTTTGCAGAATTTAGATAAAAGATCAGATGTTTAACTAAACTCTGATGAACCTTGATAACTGATGACTCAGAACAGTTCTCGACAAGAAACTACATTTTGCTTTCTGTTTCCAGGAGCTTAGGTATTGCTTCTGCTGATAGAAAGAGACTGCGGAACATACAAACAGTTAAAACAAGTGCCTGAAATGCAATGTGTCTATGTTCCCACATCAGTGCATGCATGTACTTTATGAAGCCCTACATGAATTAGTCTGCACACTTAATGCTTTTCCCATCCAAATGTACATACAGAAGGGGAAAGCTAATTATAAAATCCAATGTAATACAAGCACTAACTAGCTAAATGAATACTATACACTAAAATACTCATCTCCCATAGGGTCAACAAAACCAGAACATTATAAGCATATTATTGTCATTATATTTGTTTACACAAGAGCAGACCTTCTGGCAAATGTTCGCATAATAAGCACTAGGTACTAATATTAGTGATGGATAAGGCTCAGTATGGTCTTTATAAAAACAATGGTATTATATATTGTAAGGGGCTTTAATACGTTTTAGTGGCATCGCGGTGTACGGCTTTTTTGCGCATTTTCCCGTTTAAGGTAACCTTAAACCTAAAGGTACATTATGTTTAGTTTCACCTGAATCACGTCAGTTCCAGAAATCACTCTGGCTGACATCATATGGCGAGGTTTTTTTTTTTGTTGCATCAAGGGACATAACTGACATTGTCTAACAAACGTAACACAAGTTCCTCTTTCTCTGATATGTGAAAAAGGTGCCTCTGCACGGTGTGGATGTCTGAGAATAGAACCCTGAGAGTATCACATCGATGAGGAGCTAAATCATGGGAGAATAGGTTTCTCTTTTCTCATGTTCTGAATTAGGCTAGTATTTCCTGCTCTCACTGTTGGAGAACTTGGGTTGAAATGACAAATAGTATCTCAGGATCATTAAGGCACATAAGAGCACGATGTGACTTTAACTGTTTCCCTCATCATGCCTTTACATTCATTGCATTACGTTTCCCATGAGTGCAACACCTACATAAAGTGGATGATGGCTATGGCACATTGTCTATGGGCACTCTCTGCAGGATGATCAGTGACCCAGTGTGTACAGTCCCAAAGGAGGAAAATGCTAGAAATGTGCCAGCTGTTTGTCCAATTGTCGAAAAAATGGTAATCTAATCACAGGGTAATATAATTCCTTTACTCATGTCACTGATATTCCAGTAAGTGCTTCTTTGAGAAAACTAAGAAATCAGTAAGCATTCCAGGTTTCAATTCAATGGCTTCTATACAAACAGGTGAAGGAGGCTGTGACTCAGTGGATACTAGTATGATGGACTTCAAATCAGGGGGTAGCAAGTTCGAGTCCCACTGCAGTCAGCATGTCGTTGTGTCCCTGGGCAAGACACTTCACCCCACATTGCTCCTCTGGGGATTGTCCACAGTACTGAGTGTATGTAAGTCGCTTTGGATAAAAGCGTTGAACAAATGACATGTCTTAATGTAAAAGACAATAGAACTGTTATGAACGTCATAATGTAAAGTCATAGTGCATTTCACGAAGTCACCCTTAGTCTCTAAAAAACATTGAATACAGTCAATAGTGTAATAGCACACTTGATACATTGTGAGTCACAGCTGTAATGACTGAAACGAAAATGATGTATAGAAATGTCTGAGAGTGACATATAGTAAGTACACAACTAAGATTCTGAGAAGGGCTGATCATCCCTAACATCTCCTTTTTGTTTATGAAAACGTTGAATCATAGTGCAAACTAAGTGTCATTCATGTTGTCCTGCAGATGGGCGTGTCGATTGAAGGCAAACACAACAATGACCTGAATTTGACTTTGTCTAAATATGCATCCGGTTTGAGCTCATTTCAGTCCTGTTGTATAATTGTCATTTTTTTTTAAAAAGGCGATTCAAATCACATAAAAAACGAGAACATTTTACGAATGAAGACGAATAAAATCACATTCCAACACTTCTAGTCTAAGTTGAAATATAATCAGGCCCATTAGGGGGCGATCAGAACTGGGAGTAGCTGCAGATAAAACGCAGTAACACTTTAATAACTTGTGTAACATGGTGGACACGGAATGGCTTCCTCGTCATGAATAACTTATAACCGTCACAATGTTACAACTAGTAGAGCAGTAGCGCTATGGCTAACAGGGCTAGCAATGCATTAGTGTGGTATGCAGTAACATAACAATGAAGAAAATCGTTAAGAAACATGTACCAAAAGCAGAAGTCGCCTTTATAGTCGCTTACCTAGCTTGTTGTTACTCCTTCGGAAAGTTTCTCCGTATATCAAACGGTTACCCTTTCTACTGAAAAACACTGACAATAAAAGTCAGTGGTGAGCTTTGTATACAATTGAACACAAAAAAGCCAGAGGACACACAGAAAAAGCTCGTTAACCGTGTAGGTTTTCTTGCCAACATGGGAAATTCTTCGACGATACAGCCCTTTTCACCGAACCCATGCAGTATTTCAAGAATGACAGCTCTAACAGCCTATACGAGTCCGTTATTCTATTCTAGCCAATAAGAATGCAGCTTACAAGTAGGCGTGCCCATGTTGAGAACGTCGTGTTTACTGCTGTCGCAACTGCGCTGTTCCCGCCTGCAAACCCTCCCTGGGTGGAAGGCAGAAGAAGCCAGTTTGCCTATTTGCTGCGGAGGGAGGGCAAGCAATTCGACAGAACAGCTCGGCTGGAAGTCATCTGAGTTACTGGCAGTGTCGACGTCATCAAGAGTTAATAACAGTAGAGCTCTTCATTCACTATTGACCTTTTGTAATCATAATTGAATACTACTAGATCAAAATACACATATACTGTATATTAAAGTTAATAACATTTGGGGGGAAAAGATAACAGGAAATATATATTATTTAGTAAGCTTTTATTAAAATTGAAGTGGCAAAAGGGACCTCAAAACACAAAACAAATGGCAAGCTTCTTTATTTGAGTATGAATTAGAAACAGTAAGACAGTAGTGTGTGACATTTTTTAGTTTTAAAATAACTATATGTCTGTATAAGCTGCGCATGACCTACCTCACGCTCATAGCAGGATGGTTCAGTTAATTGATAACCAGTAGGTCAAAACAGGTATGGTGGCAAATTACACACCTTAACAAAAAAAGGAAGACAAAGGACAAATATCTTACAAGTGTTTAATGTTTGCTGTGCAAAACAATGTCCATGTTTGTGTAAATAATCACTATAGACATTTAATTATATATAAAACTTTAATAACTATAATGTGATATGTGATGTCAGAGGCCTGTAATTGATTTATTTGCTTCTTTGAAATGTGAACTTGATGCCAAGGGTATTGTGTATATTGTATCAACACACTCTTCACAATCACACACTTTCCTCTGTTCTTCTCACTGTTCTCTACCCTGGTCAGTGCTCAGAGAGAGCACTCTCCTTAATTGAATTCCCCAGCCCATTGATTATTTTAATGGTTCTCCACGCTACACAGTGGGCTTCTGCATGTCTGCACCGCATCAAGATCACAGAGCCTCTAGGGATGAAAATGGAAGCCATGCATTCACCTTCTCTTTGTCCGGAGCACTGTGTGCTTGCCGTACATGCCAGTTTTCTTCAGACTTTGAATATTTACAATTCAATTATGTTAGCTTCCTCTACTTCTTTAAAAAACGTATTTTCTAACTTGTTGTACAAAGATGCAGGCTTTTACATCAGTGTAGACATCACTGATACACAATATTGCACCTGGTCTCTGCAAAAATAATTTGTTGACAAGATCTTCTCTGACATTTATTGAAGTACCTTGCCATTCAGAATGGCTTTCTCCCTTCCACTGCATTTAGGATGACATTTGCATCTCCACGAGTCATTAAACTGTCATCCTGCTTTTCAAGCTATCATTCTTTTCTGCCTGCAATTACCTTGATAAATGTGTTAGGGATCTGCACATGTACTATGATGAGCTGTGACCATGGCGACACAGTTGTTCTAATCCAGTTTGCAGAGCTATGTGGAAAGTTGGTACATGCATGCATTGTAAAGATAAAAAAGGCTACAATCTACACCTTATTGACATCAGTTTGAGTATTTCATTATAATATTTATCTGAATTAGTGACACACAAAAAAGGTATTTTGCTACATAATATAGTACAACTTAAAACTCAGTGGTGGACTACCGATTATTTTAAGGCCTTATGATCCTTTGTCACAATCTTTAAAGAAATGAAAATCAAAACACAAAAAAAGTCCAAAATGGTAAAACATTCTTGTCCTAAAATGTTTGTACACAACATGTACTTAAGCTTCATATTCTGGTGCTATATGCTACTCTTTAAATATTTGAAATTGTTCTAATGTTTTAAATACAATTTATTTGAAATTACGTCTATATTTTCAGTAATGTACATAAATTGTAATTAATTTTTTCTCTGTAGATCTATACCTTTACATGTTTTCCTGTTTGTTTCACTCTTGCACATTACATCTCTAAATCTATCGATTAAGCATAAATCCTGCCAACAACTTCCTGTTACCTACAAATGTGCATATCGTATGGCAAATATAAGGTTATACATTACATCGTCAATAGCAAAAACTATTTATACCTTTTTTATTCTTATATCCACACAAATGATCAAACCCACAACAAACAGCAATTAGCTTTAACATACACAACCATTCAGCCTGCACCATGTTTTAAAAGCTAGCCTTTTAGTTTTTCGCTAAAGAAGAGCAAATATGAAAGTCATCCCTGTTGGGTAAAATAAAAAGAGAACATAAATCAAAAAAGATATCATAGATTGTGATCACGTCTATAAAGTCCCCACGACTAATATTGTGTCTAATGTTCCCTTCCTCATCCTTTCATTTCCTCCTTCATAGGACACAGAGCTGGGATGCTCTACTCGCTTTGGGCCTTTGGAAGGTCCGGCTCCACCCTGACCAGCTGGAAGTCCTCAGTAACCTCCAACAGAGCCTCCATCTCTGGGCTGTCTACCCTCACCAGCTGCCCATCCTCCACCTCCACGTGTACCCCCAGCCCGTTCTCCTCTCCCCCTGGCTCTCCTTCATCGTCGGCCACCTCATCCATCTCTGTGTTTGGCACCACCTCCTCCATTCCTTCTCGGAACTTCTTCACATGGAAGGTGAAGGGCGGCACGTGGTACACAGTGGTCTTGGAGCGGGCGTAGACCTTGTGTTCAGGATTGAGGGACTTCTTGGCCTTCTCTTTGGAGCTCTTCATCTTTGTCCTGCGCTCCATGTTGGGGGTCATGCGGGTCCCGAGCTGGCCCATCTTCTGCCCCAGGCTGTGCTTGGTTTTCTCCATTTTGTCGCGGGTTCTCTGTCTTGTTTTCTCCAGGTTCTCTCGGGTTCTCTGCCTGGTCTTCTCCAAGTTCTCCTTTGTCTTTATTTTGGTCTTCTCCATTTTCTCTTTAGAGAAGGCTTTCTTTATGTTGTCCACTTGCTGCTTGGTGGTGCGTTGGATGCGCTTGGTGCGAGACTCCTCGATAATCTCCTCAATCTCCACCTCTTCATCGGAGTTGAGATGGTCTTGAACTTCTTCTTGTCCTTCAGGTATCTGCGCAAGGCCCTCCACGGCTATGCCTTCAACCAAGGTCTCTGCGGTCTTGGATTTGGTTATCTTAGGAGGCTTCACTTTGTCCTAAGGGAGCAAAAAAGAAAAGATTAGAAAAAATTCCAACTATCAAGCCACGGAAGCATTGTATTAAGAAATCACAATGTGTGAATTGTGTCGCATTTTCTATTTGACATTTACTAGAATGTTATCAGGAATGCTGCTACGCTAATTGTATTGTATGATCATGTAAATTATGGCATTTCATTTCATATGTCATGTGATCAGTCTAAGAAAGTGGATTAAATTGCCTTTGGGCTAAAATGAATTTGAAAATACAGGCACATGATGCTTGACAGATCCATGTGTCATTCACACATGTCACAGCTTGTAGCTAGTGTAGACTGCCATCTAGTGGTGCCAGCCATATGCCAACATTCAAATGCCAGTTTAGCTGCAGCCAGATATATTACACTTTAAGTCTTTATAAAAGAACATATTACATTACATCGCATTTAGCTGACGCTTTTATACATAGTCTGATGCGGTCACATGTTCACCACATGAGTAGAATAATTATAAATCTATGGGGCTTAAGAGAATCTGCAACTTCACAGTCATATTGAAACTAAAGTCAAGAGGATGTTCCATCTAACCACAGGTTTATATCCTGCTATTACATTTAGTACATTATGTTGTATGTCATCCTTATTGTTGTTATGTTGTTTTTATGTTACGTGTAACTAATGTCCTGCAGGTCACCCTTGAAAAAGAGATCTTTTGATCTCAAGGGGCTTCACCTGCAAATAAAGGCTACAAACTAACAAGAACATAATGTATCTTTAAATATAAAAACTTCCATCGCTAATATCCAATCAAATCTAACAGTAAACAGGGGATGTGGTTTGATATATATATATACAAATAAAGAATTATCTTTGAATTATGAATAATTCCTAATCTACATTTATCGTACTATCACTATCATTTATAATTGTGTGTTTGCCTCACTGGAAAGACAAGGTGCTAAGTACAGTTCCAGTTTAGCCATATAATATAATGTACAGCAAAGCAGTGCAGCAGGTTCACACTTGTTCAAAATATATCTCTGTGAAGCCAGAAATAGGGGACTACACCTATAGGTCCTCCATACAGCAATACAGCTCAGTTGCACTACAATATTTAACCTAATGGTCGGTGTACACTTATACTTCCTTTCTAGTCTTTTACTCACAACACACAGCATATAGAGTTACTGCTGGGGACAGCTGTTAATCAATCAGGAGTGCAGAAACCATATTTACATGCTTTGTGGCAGGAAACTGTCAGTGTGTGGTACCAGATATCCACACAGGGAGAAGCAGTACAATGCTGACAATGTAAACCCCCTAACAGCGTGCCTGGGGCCCCGAGAGGGATTAGAGGACCCACCACCATATTCACTGCCTTTGTAGATACAGTAAATGGTGTTACACTGTAATGTATAAAAGTATAAAGTAAGTCACCAGGTCTTCTGACTGCAGATGCTTGTGCCATAAAATGAACAAGGGTTAGACCAGTGAGGGTTTGAAAAAGGCCCAAAAGTAGGTTTTGCGTAATTGTATATTTGCTTCTGCTGATACTGAAATACATTTTTTTATTTTATTATTATGATAGTTCACAGGGCATTTTAAGATGAAGTATTTTTTTGGTTTTCAAAGAGAGCATGCTTCAATTAATGACTTCTTTATGTATTCTGTTTTATGTTAAAGTAGACGTATTCAAATCAGATTTTCAGCCTCAAGCAGGAGGTAAATTTGGCCTAATTTAGTCGTGCTAAATTTGAGAGAAAAAAAGATTGTCTATTCTTTGTGGTTTTTGGCCTGCTGCCACATGCAAACTGAATCTCCCGCAGAAACACCTGAAACACATGTACAGCACTGCAGACTGACAGGGCAACACATGAGGAGGTGGCATGTAAGAGCAGATATATGGAGTGTGAAGACATATATTGATAAATGTCTTAGTTTGTCACTGTCAATCAAAAAAATTAAAAACTACATAAGGTGTTTTATAGCGTTAGATTATTAGTAATATATGAGTAGCTTAACTAAAAGTTAGATTTGAATGCCGGTATTAACCTTCTGACAGATAAACACCTGTCAGATCACGTGATCACCACATCTCCATGGGCAGTTATTGCCATATGATCCTATCATTAAATGGACGTTGCGTCCTTATCTGGAGCCGTGTAGGGCGTGTCCTCTGCGACCCACTCTGTATGCGTTTATTTTGGGCTGGCCTTCCCCCCCCAACACACAACACCCTCGTCTCTCACACGCCAACAGATAAACACAGCACACTGTCACCATGGCAACCACCTGCTCATGTTGTCCCTTGTGGGTGGTGAAGTTTTGCTGGGTAAACAGCTGACATCTCTACAACAATACTCCAACATGCGTTTGATACAGTAAAACTATAATAAAAACTGCACCTGTTGAGTCGAGTGAGTGACAATAACATTAATGAGAGATATTTTAAAATACATTAGCACATAACCCTACCACAATAATTTTCCACAGATTCTGTCAGAACTTAGTAGTATGACAAACTAAGCTGAATAGGACACATAAGCAAGTTCAAGAGATTTTACCAGAATGTAATAATGATACAATTGCACAAATAAAAGCTGACCTCATACAGTACATATTGTATTAGTCAAGTAAACATGCCCTCCTACTCTGTGTACAAATAAACACATAAAAGAGTATCCAGACTGACACGTGTTCGCAAATCCCCACACAAAGAAATGAAAAAACAAATGTTTCCATGAAGCATTTTTGTGAACACTTTTTCACTTCTGAAGCCTGAATAGGAAGTTTCTGCAGCCAATGGCAGCACGGCATCCTGGGAACAGCTGTAGTCATACAGCACAGGGAAACGGCAACGTGATCCAGGACCACATCAGCACCATAACTCAATAAAACGTCTGTATGTAACGCTGAATCGAGACCATCACTGGCCAACCTGCCCATGTTGTTTAATGGAAACTTCTTGAAACTTAAAATTGATGGAAAACAACTCGCTCTATTCATTCAAACCTTTATTTAACCAGGTGGTCCCATTGAGATCATCAATCTCTTTTTCAAGGGAGACCTGTCCAACATGGCAGCAAATAGGTTACAACATGAACATAAAACAACAGATAACACAAAAGGACATCGTATTTACAGGGCTAAATTTACATACCAGACATTGACAAGTACCAACAGTATCAAGTATCATTGCACCTATCCGAGCTTTAAAAACAGGCATTGGAACCAATTTGCTCAGTTTCAAATCTTTTTGAAGACTGTTCCAAGCAAGAGGAGCTGTGCACATAAAAGCTTTCATACCTAAGTCCGTCCTTGCACTTGGCACATGTAACAAAGCCACATCATGTGATCTCAGGCAATAGCTACCTGCAACTCTCTGTTTGATCAGAGAGCAGATGTAAGATGGGAGTTTACCCAACATGGCTTTATAGATGAACATGTACCACTGGCTATACATATGTGGCAAAGGATTACTGTTATGGTCTTCTTTGGTTAGTTGACTTAATGGTTCTGCCTGATTTTGGTTGCTTTAAGATCGCCATCATTTGTCAAGTTGCAATCTTGTGATCAATGGATATGGTTTATTGGATAGCAGTACTCGGAGGGAGACTGTTACTGCAAGGTAGTGTGGTCGTTTCTCAACTAGAAGATTGTGTGTTCAATCCTAGCTTGTGTAGTCATGTCGATGTATTGGGCAAGATGTTTAACCCTGAGTTCCTCCCGATGGCCAACGGTGTGTGAATGTTTATGGATGTTAGCTTCCCAGAGCACGTGGTACTGCTCTGCATGAATGAGGTGTGAATGGGTGAATGACTCGTATGTAAAGCGCTTTGAGGGGTCTTAAAGACCTGATAAAGCGTTATTCAATTACAGTTCATTTACCATTACTCGATATGAGCCAATTTATCAGTCCAGCTCTACTAGAGTTATATTTAAATAAAAAATGTTTTAGACTGAAACACTGAGGACATTGCATTTCTGAAATTGTCATTTAAATTCTTAAAACTTGACTCAGGATGCTGAATCTGTGGAAATGGTCAGTTGACCTTGTTTGGGTTTCCCTGCCTGATCACAAAACAGGAGACTGGGAGCTTTAGGGAAGAGTTGGGAAGTCCATTAGTGTCCCTGCGTTACCCACCATTCTCCTCCCACTTAGCAGTAATGGAAAAGTCGGCACTCTGTGTGTGTTTACTGACAGGTGCCCGGGGAATGGACACTGAGTGTATGTGTGCTCTCCTCAATGAGGAGGTCTGTTGCTAGTGTTTCTTTCCTTTGAATGTGTCGTGAATCATAGCTCATGGTAAAGTTGGCTAGAATTCTCTCTGTCTGAGTGTGTGTCTGTTGGTGTGTGTGTGTGTGTGTGTGTGTGTGTGTGTGTGTGTGTGTGTGTGTGTGTGTGTGTGTGTGTGTGTGTGTGTGTGTGTGAATGGGTGTGTGTGTGTGTGTGTGTGTGTGTGTGTGTGTGTGTGTGTGTGTGTGTGTGTGTGTGTGTGTGTGTGTGTGTGTGTGTGTGTGTGTGTGTGTGTGTGTGTGTGTGTGTGTGTGTGTTTGATTAGCTCAGACAAGTCAACAACTGTCTGAGCCATCACTCAGAACGAGGCACGACACAGGAGGTGCAATTAGAAAGAGGACATATGATGCTGGTAAACGACTACAACCTATCAGGAAAAAGAAAAGATATGTGGGAGATTAGCAGGGTCTCCTGCCTATTTTACTTTAATTGAAGATCAGACCAGAATGTTCTTAATATGTGCTGAACATTCTGTAATCCTGAAACAAGATCTTGAATCGAAGGTGTTCATGCAACAGCAGCAAAGCCTTTTTAGTGTCTAAACAATGTGAGCGAAATGTTCTCTGTCTGACTCATAGGGGGGCTCGGGGATAATTGAACTGTTACCATGGACGACAGAGCAAACAGTGGTACTTAATCAGCGCTACGCAGAGACCACAGCAGCTCACTTTTCTCTTCCCCCCCCTCTCTATCTGCTGTTACAAGACCTACACTCACTATTC